CACAGTGTGCTGAACAGCCAGCCCACCTGCCCCTCCCATCCACAGGGACTCTGCAGAAAGATCTCTGCCTCAGCATCACATGACCTGTTTCTGCAGGAGGGAGGGGGACCGGGGACCAGGGTGCGGGAGGGGAGAGAAAGAGAGATGGAGAGAAACGGTCTTTTGTTCTGCCATCCTCCATGATTGCTTATCTCTGGCACAAGGCTCTGAAGTCAGGCCAAGGATTTTAATAAAGCATCAGAAGATTCACCCAGCAGCCAGCATGGTCTTTCACTCGGCACTGATTTGGACTAGGGATATAATTCTGCCTTCCCTGTGATAGCAGAGCTGTCTCTGCTTCTTGCTGAGTCTTATTGTGTCTTGTTAACCCTACATGTGTTCCAGAGTCTGAAAGTGATCTCCCAACACAGTCGCACGTATGGACGATCACATGTCTCCCCACTCAAATAAGGTTACATGCTGTCCATGGTAAGGATCCCTCCCTCTGTGTGAGTTTGCTCATCTAAAAAGCATCAAGTCACGAGATAAAATCATCTAGAAGCCTACACTTACTTGAAATATTAAAAATTAGGGTTGAGGCACCTGGGTGGCTCAGTCGTTAAGCGCCTGCCTTCGGCTCAGGTCATGATCCCAGGGCCCTGGGATCGAGCCCCGCATTGGGCTCCCTGCTCAGCTGAAAGCCTGCTTCTCCCTCTCCCACTCCCCCTGCTTCTGCTCCTTCTCTTGCTGTGTCTCTCTCTGTCAAATAAATAAATAAAAAATCTTTAAAAAAAAAAAATTAGGGTTGTGTGGGAGAATTCCAGGATAGTGGATAAGACAGCTAGAGCAAAAGGACAGAATACAAGTCTCGCTGGGGTCAGTGACATGGCCCCGGGGCCACTGTCCATCTTCAGGGCTTGCGGTGGATGAACAGCCCCTGGGAGCTGATGTGGGGGAGGCCTCTTGTCTGGAAACCTATGCATTCCCTTCAATCCGGGCTCCTTGGCCTGGCACTCTGTACCTCCCAGCCCCCCCTTTCATCCTCAGCTTCCTCAGATCAGGCTGGAGAGAGAGGATTTCCGGGCGGGTGCAGGATCCAAGGCCCAGCTCCACCACAGGCCCTGTGTACCTCTGAGCACCTCATCTATTCCCCGAGTGTTCACTTCCTTGGGAATCATGATACCTACTTTCCAGGACTTTTGTGAGGTTCAACTGAGACAGGAGGGTCTTCAAATGTGTGCCATTGCTCTTCTACTTTCCAGGACACGTGCTGCCCACGGCTCTGCCCACATCTGTCTCTCCCTTGGCCCCAGCACACCCTCTTCTCTTCTCTCAGCCTGACTGGCATCCCCCATGCCCTCGCTCAGGTCCTGACGACCTGTCCAGCCTGACCCAGCCCTCCTCAAGCTCATGACCCATGAGTACTTGGTGCCTCAACCCCTCACTGGCCGGTCTGTGCCCTGCCCGCCATTGTTAATTATCACCTCGTCTCTGCAACAGTCTGTCTGTGCCTGGAGATCAAGATGAAATACTCTATTGCTCAGAGCTCAGCGTATTGTCAACGCTGCTGAAAGAAGCAGAAGTCAGTAAGGCGAAGACGAACTGCCATGCCTTGGGGCTGCCCAACGGCTTCTTGTTGGAAGCTCCTTTCCTGCTTTGCTCTCCTGAAGCTTCTGTGTGTTTCCTTCCCTGAAACAAGTGGGGATGCATGTAGACTGCTCCCTTGGCCTAGCTTGATGAAGGAGGAATCTTTTTATTCACCACTCGTGGTTGATCCAGAGCCAGATCTGCCCTGGCACTGTAGGAGAGGAGAATTTGGGCTCCTGTGGAGTCGGGTGGCATGAAGAAGGGGGCAGCTCCCTCCGGGGCCCTTGGTGAGGCTGCCTAGTCTAATGGCGGAGGCTGAGTTAACTTACCAGCCGTCCTCTGGGTAAGGCAGAGCTGTATGGAAGCTTAGTTGGTTAAGGCAGCTATATGGACATTTTTCAAAGACTTATAAAAATCTCTTCGTGGTTGATAATGCCTGTGACTAACAGTGACTCCGTTCAACTTGTTTCTAATCCACTTGGAGCTTTTTCCCCCTTCTGAAACAAAGTGATAGGATTTATCTTATTTTCCTTTTGTGCCAGAGCCTGATGACATTAGAACTTGGGCAGGGGTTTTTCTTCTGTGTGACAGCTGTTGCCAGCAAAAATATTTTGTCTGCACTTGTGAGGAGTGTGGGCGGGGGCGGAGGGGGGAAGCAGGGGTGGAGGAGGCCGGGACAGGGTGGGGGGCAGGAAAGAGGTGGATATGCTTGAAAATACTGGTCTTTGGGGGGATTCAAGGTATGATAGGGGACATTTTTAAAAATATGAATGGTTCTTATAGCACCAAGGAAGTCTCACATTCTCGAAATCTTCCTTGGAAACAGATTGCTCGTATTAGACAATTTTGGTATGACAACCTAATCCTCCTATTTCAAAAATGAGGTAAGAGGAAGACTGCTTTGAAAGAATCATTCTGACTGTTATGTGGAGAACGATGGTAAGGGGATGAGGGCGGAGGCAGGGAGACCATTTAAGTTCGCACAGGAGTCCAGAGGAGAGTCGAGGTGGAGGGGTTGGCCGCAGTCAGAGTCTGGACAGAGCCAGCAGGGTTTGCTGATGAATGGGACGTGAGCTGCGAGAGGAGGAGAGGGGTCAGGGAGGATGCCAAGGTTTGGGGCCTGACTGCCTAGAAGAACGCAGGTGCCACTTTCTAAGATGAGGAGGATGGTGGGAAAGGCAGTCTTTGTGGGGCACCCTTGTTGAGTTTCCAACACACGTTCAAACGGGGGTGCTGGGTAGACAGCTGACTCTAATACAGGGCTGGAGCTCAGGAAAGCTCAGAGACACAAATGTGGGAGGCCTCAGTGTGTCGAAGCTACCTCACAGGGACAGCAGCTGGAGGAGACAAGTGTCACTGGGGCACTTCCACGGGGGAGGCTGGGACTATGAGTGAGATCCAGCAGAGGCGCTGGGAGGAGGGCCCCCCCCCAGCACAAGGAAGAGACTGATTGAGGCTCCAGGCCTTGACACCTAGAGATCTTCAGTGGCCTTGGCAAGAGCAGTGTCATGGAAGGAGGGCAGCCTGGTAGGAGTGAGGCCAGGAGAGAAAGGGAAAAGAGGATCTGGAGATAACCGTGGAAGCCTTTCCCTGGGGTTTTGCTGTAGAGGGCCAGAGACAAGGGGAACGAATCAGAATGATGTGAGACAAAGAAAGGTATTTTGTAAGATCATGTCTGTATGCCGATGAAAATAGTCTAGCGCAGAGGAGAAAATCCACGATGGAAGAGAGAGAGGTACGAATCGCTCGCGTGCTGTCCTTGAGAAGGTGAAGAAGAAGGGGGACACCGGTGGAGGGTTAGCTTCGGGTGGCAATGGAAGGTTCATCTGTAGTAACTAGAACAGAAGCGGACTTAATGGGTTCAGCTGTAGAGAGTTTGTTGGGTTTGGTGGGAGGAACAGATTTTGAACAGAATGTGAATTATTCTATGCTCTGTAGATTAGAGAAAGGCCAGTTGGGGCGGTGAACATGGCTTTGGGTTTCACCTCTTGACCCCAGGCCACTGGGGCTCCTCAGTGGAGAATTTGGATGAACACTGATTGGCAGATATAATAACTCTCAGTAAATAATATATATATGTATGTACACATTTTGCCACTGTGGCAGGTGTGGGGCATTCTGATTGGCACGGGTGGTGAAAGAATTCACCCCAGGCAGATCAAAGAGATAGAAGTTTTTTGAATACACTGCAAGGGATAGCGGGCAGGACGGCAAAGGAGAGACCATCTGCCAGGAGGTGGCTGAGGGGGGAGGCTATAGTTATGGGGTGGAGTGAGGAGGTATGGGAACCTATGGAATTTTCCTTTTTTTGGTAACTGTGCCTGGTCGAAAGTAGCCCATTGGTTGGTTAGGGACTCTGGCCATTTCAAGGTGGGTCACTCAATGAGCCCGTTTGCGTCAGCTCGGTAGTCACTGTGGGTCCTTTTGCCTTGCTCAAGTTTTCATTGCTTAAGCCTGTTGCCTAAAAGTGGCCTCTACAACTGGGACATTTGGTGCTCGTCAGATGTCCTGTCTGCTTCACATTTTGCACACAACCCCTCCCGCCTGCCGCAGGGAGGCAGCAGCAGGTGACAGTTTATGGCTGTTGGCCACAAGAACATTTGAGGTGTCACTTCTAGGTCAGAGCATCAGGAGGCCTGACCCAACCGCACAGATCCCTCTTTTGCTGTTGTGACCCGAGGTGTGGTCTGGGTCCCTGAAAAAGGACTACACGGAGCAGAGTCCTCCCACCTTACCACCTACCCCCCCAATGCCAATGCCCTTGCAGGATTAAAATGTCACTAAAGCATAACCTAGCCTATTATGAAACCAAGCCCCACATCACCAATCACGGCGTATGAGGGAGTTTGGGTTTGGTTTTAGATTAAATGCCAAAGGATCTCATGAGAGAGTCCTGTGATGCTGAAAACATCCTGGATGTTCTTATGACTCATTGATTGCACTGTGAACATGCCCGGGGCAGCTCTATCTTCAGATGGCATGCGTTGCCATTCCATGCCTCATCTTTCTTCACCTGGAAGGGAGGTAACCGGTATCCTCCCCACAGAGCAGTTTTCTTATCTATCATCTAAAAAATCCTGTAATTCTTGGTTCCTACTGAAATGCATGCCAAATAAAAGTCTCACAACCCAAATTGGTGGCAGAAAGAGGAGAGGGATGAATCAAAGCACCAATGCCCCTCTTGCCCTGTTGTCAAGCAGACCCCTGGGAGGGCCAGCCTCTTCTGTGGTGTGCGGCTGGGTGCTTTTGTGTTTGTGGACTGTGGCCTACCTGAGAAACAGGACCTGCTGTTTCATCTCAGCATTCTATATTGTAGGGCCTGGAGAAAAGACTGCCCCCGACAGAGTTCCTGAGTCACAAAGAGTGGGAACCCAGTGACTCACCCTTGCTTTCTAAAAGCGAAAGCTACACAGCAGTCAGCCCGCTTCCTTCCCACCTGCCACCTAGTGGTTCCCCGAAGAATTGCAACCTCCGGCTCAGGGCCAGAGGCCCCGGGGATCTTGTTACCATTCTGCATTCTTATCTGATCTTCTTCAGAGGGCTTTAGCCCTGGAAGGCGCCTTAGAGATCATCTAAGCCAATCTTCTCAGTTTACAGCTAAGGTAACAGAGACCTAGAAGAGAGGCATAGAGCTAATTAGTGGTGGAGCCAGGCCTAGAGCCGAAGGCCCCGAGGAGGCCCTTGTATTATTCTTCCAGCATGTATTCATTTACTCCCTCAACCATCCAGTCAATATTTGTTTGGTGCCTACTAGGTGGTGCTGGGCAGGACACTGAAGCTGGGAGACCCGGTAGCTGCCCTCAAGAAGCTTCCTGAGAAGGACGATGAGCATGCAAACAGGCCATCACAGAAAATGAGTGCTCTGTGGGAGGTAAAGATGAAGGGCCAGGAGAAGCTGTGGAGAAACTGTGAAGGCTTCCCCAAGAGGTGCTACTGGGGCTAACTTCGGGTCGAGGGGTTCCTCCAGCAGGTAAGTCAGGGGCAGGCCCAGGCTGGGGGCAGCAAGTAGAGCGATGCACAGGGGGAGCAGAGGTGGGGGCTTCTGGGCGCCTCGTGGAGGTCAGTATCTCTCCCCAGAGCGTAAAGCAGCAGGCGGGCGAAGGGACAGACATGGAGCAGACTGGCAGCTGGGCCGGGGCCCTCGGATGTTGGCAAAGGCGTTGAGGCTAAACATCCCTGAAGAAAGTTTTCGTTAGAGGAAATAACAAGAACAGGTGTATTCATGCGATAGATCTCTCTGGCCACAGTGAGAAAGGCCCCCCGGAGGAAGCAAGAGAGCCAGCCAGAATGCCAGGGCAGCAGTTCAGGCAAGAGAAGGAAGGGCAGGGTCTGCCCCAGGCCCGAAGTGCAGGTGGGGAGGGTACGAGGGAGGCGTGTGGCCACAGCCGCGGGCAGCCCTGTTGGCCGTAATAGAGAAGATTCTTCAGTTGGGTTTGGGAACCCCAGGGAGTGGCGGAACATTCACCAACAGAGGGAATACAGGAAGGAAAGTGCTGGGGGGGGGGGTGCCAGGAGGGGGAGGGTAGAAAAGATGATGAAACTGGGTGTGGACACCGAGGGGCCAGGTGCCGCGGGTGCCGCGGGGGACAGTTGGGAAGTGATGGCCCCAGGCAGTTGGGCCTGCTCGCCTCTAGGAAAAGCAACAATGGCTGTACATGCATACTTTTGGGATTAGGTGGCAAGCAAATTCATGGCCGTGGATGAAATTGCCCAGGGAACACGTAAGGTGAGAGGAGAACAGGCTACAGAGGGAGCCTGCCCCAGGCTGGGCTCGCCAGAAAGCAATTTCGGAAAGTTTAGTATGCAAATGTTATTAGAGAGTACCCTTGGAATCAACACCCCTAGTGAGAGGAGGTAGGAGTGGGCAGAGGGAGAAGGAAAAGCTCCCCGGTGACCCCGTGGGGAGCTCTGGAGCTCACATGGCTGTCAGAGTTGACTGCTTGGGGCCAAAGTGGCCGCATCTTTATTCCTTTGCCTCCATCAGAGAGCCCTCCTGCCCCCACCCCCCATCCCAGGAAAGACCATGGGGCACGGCAGCTCTCTGCCGCCGAGGTCATCCCTAAAGGGGTTGACTCTTTTATTTATTTATTTATTTATTTATTTTTTATTCTTATGTTAATCCCCATACATCACATCATTAGTTTTAGATGAAGTGTTCCATGATTCATTGTTTGTGCATAACACCCAGTGCTCCATGCAGAATGTGCCCTCCTCAATACCCACCACCAGGCTAACCCATCCTCCCACCCCCCTCCCCTCTAGAACCCCCAGTCTGTTTTTCAGAGTCCATCCTCTCTCATGGTTCGTCTACCCCTCCGATTTCCCCCGCTTCATTCTTCCCCTCAAGGGGTTGACTCTTGAAGGCCCTATGGTCCCAGCCACTGGGCAACAATTCTTTCCTGGAAGGAGGATCTTCCCTCAGGCCAGAGTTCTAGTTTGGTCCATTTGCTGTCACAGTTGGGCAAGGGCATACCACAGGGCACCCGAGTGGATCATCTGAGTGTCAGACGTTTTCCTCCCTGCCCCCACCTGGTGACAACAGCCCTATCTCCCCCTTATGATGAGGGTGGCATTCCCCTGCTAGGATGATGACTCCTCTGTGAGTTGTTGGGCTCTGGACACAAGGAGCCCAAAGTGCCTAGTGGCCGCCATAGCTAATTACTGAGCAGAACTCTTGCTGTGTCCCCTGGAGGACGTGTTCTCCCTTTGGGAAGCAGGCCCACAAGTGCAGCTTTGGGAAGCCCAGTCCCCTGTCCCGGCTGGGGGAGTGATAGGAGGGGCTGCTCCTGCTTCCCCTCTTGGATCCCTGACTCATGTGGTCTTCCTGCTGGGAACACAGCACCATATATAGTCCTTTCGTTCAAGCTACATAAGGGGTCTTGGGGGATGGTTCTCCATCCTCCTAAATTACCATCTCTGAGCATTTCGGTCTTCGGTGGGCAGCTTGTGGGTGGCACAGACGGTGTCCTGTGGCCAGTGGCTCCCATGGCTCTGGGCCCACTCTCCCACCTTTTTGGCCGTCTCACGTGACGTTCTGTGCAATGCCATGCTGGAGGATCCCGCACTCTGTAAGCACTCAGATAATGGCATGAAGGCTCTGCGGACAGGAAGGGCAAGCCCACACCTGGAATGTGGTTCTGTTCCATCCGAGCCGATTGCTGGCCCTTCTGGGTGGGAAGAGCCCCACATCACCAGCTTGCGAGGTAGCGGTCCGTTCTCCTTGAGGAGAACTGGTGCCAAGGGGATGCCATGACAGCCTCGGCCTGGGCCTCTGTGGGTAGGGAGGATGTTTGGCAACAGCAACAGCAAGAAGAGCTTTGGTAGGCGGAATCCGTGCCGTTGGCTCCTGCATAACCTACCATGGCTCTTCCGTCCGTGGCGCATTCATCGTACCAGCCCTGGGGTGGCCGAAGACAGGGGCCAGGTAACATCAACTGGTTGAGTCATTCTGTCTACTCATGTTCTCTCTGGGTCATTACAGGTGGCCCAATGATCTTCACACTTGGTGGACACTCTTTGCATGCCTCTTCCCCAGACGGCCCTGTCCTATCCTCTGTCTTCCAGGCTTTCTCCCCAGAGTTTCCTGATCAGCCTGGTCAACGCCTGGCCCTCCGCTCATGAGTCCACGTGGACTCACAACGTGGCTGGCCAGGCGCCCTGCCAGAATGTGGCTACAGCACAAGTGTACTGGGTGTAGCTTGCGCCCCTCCACGGATCCATCCGGAAACCCAGCTCAGGCTCTTAACTCATTCGTTGCCATTCCTGTGGGATCCCCCATACAGCCAGAGGTGCGAACATCAGCGCGATGTTCTGTGGGATGTCTGGACAGCCTAGATCTCTTCACGACGTCCTGACAGAGGGTGGAGAGTGAACATGGTCCTGGGCAAAGCTCTGTGTGAATCTTGTTGTCCATCCCATGGAAATGCAAACTGTTTCTGCCCCTCTTTTCTGATTAGAATAGAAAAGAATGCATTTCCCAGATCGTGGGCCACATACTATGTCCCTGCGGCCGTATTATGCTGCTCTCTCAAAGATACCACATCAGGGGTGCCCGGGTGGCTCAGTCATTAAGCATCTGCCTTCAGCTCAGGTCATGATCCTGGGGTCCTGGGGTCCCGGGATGGAGCCCCGCATCGGGCTCCCTGCTCCGTGGGAAGCCTGCTTCTCCCTCTCTCACTCCCCTGCTTGTGTTCCCTCTCTCGCTGTGTCTCTCTGTCAAATAAATAAGTAAATAAGTAAAGATACCACATCAGCTGCAATTGGGACTGCTCCTAGGTTGAGTTTGTTGTAGTCTGTTATCATCTTCCAGAATTCACCTGCGGAAGGAGAAATACGATGAAGACCACCACCACTGCATCCTTTGGATCCCTAAGGCTGGCACCAAATTCCACCATCCTCCCCTCGATGCAGTATTGCTTGGCTGGGGAAGGGACAGTTTCATCGGCTTTCACAGAGCTTTCTCCACTATGAGAGCTCTTACCCCACAGGCCAAGGACCCACTGTGGGAATTGTGCGAACTTCCAACTATGCCTATCCCAGTTATATATTCAGGGACCAGGCAAATGATCCCGGATGGGTCTGCAGACCACATGGACCCTTAGCCAGGACTGTATGTATTGTCCAGTTCCCATATGCCCCCATTTTAGCAGGAGGACCGTGATGACACTTCAGATCTCGGTATCTCACTCAAGTCCAACTCTGACTCTTGAGATGTTCGGGTCTTCCTTTTCCCTAGTATAGTGTTACTTGACTAAATGACCTTTGGTCTTTTTGGGGAGGGGCTGGATGGTCATACGGCGTATACTTAATATGGTGTTGCAGGGGACCTGGCTATGTCTTTTTTTTTTTTTTTAAGATTTTATTTATTTATTTGACAGAGAGAGACACAGCGAGAGAGGGAACACAAGCAGGGGGAGTGGCAGAGGGAGAAGCAGGCTTCCCGCCGAGCAGGGAGCCCGATGCAGGGCTCGATCCCAGGACCCTGGGATCATGACCTGAGCCGAAGGCAGACGCTTAACGACTGAGCCACCCAGGCGCCCCGAGACTTGGCTATGTCTTTAGTTATTGGGTTCCAGGTCCAGAAACTGAGCAAGGGACCATAAGATTTTATTGGAGTGATTACACTCAGCCTTCTGATCATCCAACCACAGTTTCTTTTTTTTTTTTAAGATTTTATTTATTTATTTGACAGAGAGAGAGAGACACAGCAAGAGAGGGAACACAAGCAGGGGGAATGGGAGAGGGAGAAGCAGGCTTCCCGCTGAGCAGGGAGCCCGACGCGGGGCTCGATCCCAGGACCCTGGGATTATGACCTGAGCTGAAGGCAGACGCTTAGCGACTGAGCCACCCAGGCGCCCAACCAACCACAGTTTCTTCTGATGGTGTAGGGTGAATAAACTCTCGCAGTTGGCCTCAGTTGAATCCACAGGCACTATGGAACAAAAATGGCACATCACAGTTGGGCCGAAATGGCCTGGCCTCTGTACAGCTGCCTCCATCAGTCACTGGATGTGAGCTGCCCTGGGAAGGGTGTGCAGACTCCAAAGGAGGTGACAGTGGATGACTGTCTGCCAACAGCATTTCCGGCAGCTGGGACAAGTCCTTTCTTGAAGGGGGATCTAGGTGGCACATCTCAGCGCCCACCACAGGGTCTATGGAGAAGCCACCAAAGTTGACAGAGTGGGGCTCTTGAGGATGTGGAGAAGGACAGGGTCTGAGCACAGGTGGATAGATTAACCTTCAATAAGAGGAAGGGAAACTCATGGTAATGGGAGGAGGAGAAGGTGGTAGGAATGGGGTCAGATGAAGATAAGGGTTTGAGTAGAGGAACAAGGTGTTGGGGAAATCAAGCCAGATAATCTATGTTTTCTTTGTAAAATTAGAAGCACCTTACCTGGTGAACTTGAGCTTGGATAGGGTTAGGGCTTGAGGAGAATAGTCCTGAGAGTAAATGAGAGAGGACACAGTCTAAGGGAGTCCAGGGTAGTGTTTGAGGGGCAGCTGATTGTTGGGGCCATGCCTGCTGGTCAGGTGGTTTTCCCAGCAGTGCTCAGTGCCCAGCTCTAGGAGCAGTGAGGAGTTCGCTTCAAGCTGTGCTGAGTGGGTGTGGAGAGGACAGTGAGGCAATATGCTGTTAACTAGTTGCCTCAGTTTTCCCAGACAGTTCTTCTGGATTCTTTAGATATAAATTCTCATTTTAAAAATTGTTTGTTTCCTAGGGGATGAAGAATGAGAAGGTGTTAGAGTTGCAATGTGGTGAGGTTATCTGCTCCATTGGTCCCATTTATCAATTTGTTTTTTTATGGAGCTTGCTGTTTTATCTATGAAATCTTCATTTAATTAAAGATCACAAAGATTTTCTCCTATGTTTTCTTCTAGAAGTTTTATAGTTTTAAGTTTTATGTTTAGGTCTAATTTTGAGTTCGTTTTTGTGTTGGCGTTAAGTAGGACCTGAGATTTCCTTTTTTAAATTTTATTTTTATTTTTTATTTATTTTTTTATTATGTTACGTTAATCACCATACATTACATCATTAGTTTTTGATGCAGTGTTCCATGATTCATTGTTTGCGTATAACACCCAGTGCTCCATGCAGAACGTGCCCTCTTTAATACCCATCACCAGGCTAACCCATTCCCCCACCCCTCTCCCCTCTAGAGCCCTCAGTTTGTTTCTCAGAGTCCATAGGCTCTCATGGATCGTCTCCCCCTCCGATTTCCCCCCTTTCATTCTTCCCTTCCTGCTATCTTCTTTTTTTTTTTTAATTTTTTAATTAAAAAAAATCCTTTTGAGATTTCCTAGTACATAAGGAAATGCCAATTAAAACCACAATGAGATACCACTACACACCGCTTAGAATGGTTAAAATGAACAAGCTTGACCATATCAAGTAGTTGACATGGTCCTTGCTGTTTGATGGGGATGGGGAGGACGCAGAACTCCATACACTGATGGGAATGTAATGGTATAATCACTACAGAAAACAGTTCATCAGGTTCTTTAAAAGTTATACATACAGGGGCACCTGGGTGGCTCAGTTGGTTAAGTGTCCTACCCTTGATTTTGGCTCAGGTCATGATCTCAGGGTCCTGGGATCGAGCCCCACATTTGGGCTCCCCACTCTGTGCAGAGTCTGCTTGTCCTTTTCCCTCTTCTTCTCTCTCCCTCTCTCAAATAAATAAATAAATAAATAAATAAAATCTTAAAAAAGAAAAAAGAAATTACACATACAACTGCCATATGATACAACCATTCTACTCTTAGGTGTTTATCTACCAGAGATGAAAGCATAGGCGTAGCCGCTTTAGTGTAATAGCCCCAAACTGGAAACAGCCCAAATGAACATCAACATGTGAAGGAATAAACAAATAGTGGTGCGGCCGAACGACGGAATACCGCTCCGCAATAAAAAGGGGTGAACTATTGATACACACAACAATGGACGGATCTCAAAGTAATTATGATGAGTGAAAAGGCAGACAAAAAAATTGTACATACTCTAAGATTCCATTTATCTAAAACTCTAGAAAATCCAAACTAAGCTGAAGTGACAAAATGCATATTAGTGCCTGGGGGGGGAGCAGAAAAGGTTATAAAGGGGCTTGAGGAAACCTCTGGGGGTAATGGACATGTTCTCTATCTTGATTGTAGCCATGGTTTCATGGGTTATACATGTGTCAAAACTTCCATTTATACACTTTAGATGTGTAGTTATTGTATGTCAATTATACCTGAATATAGCTGTTAAAAATATTGACCTGAAAGTTAACTATTGTATTGAATCATTGATAATTAGCAAACAGAACAAACCTTTTACATTTTACATGGTTACAAATGTAACCTTTTACATTTAAATTTTGTCTACTGAGACCTATTAGAGCTTTAAAAAGTAGGACTGTGATAGTTCTGACATAAAACCCAACGGTCTGTTGTAAGAGAACCTGACAAAATGGATCCTGCTTGCTCTTACCTCAAACATTCTCTCTGATATTGAAGGCTTCCTTATTTCAACTCTGCAGTGTCCCACAGTGACTCAGATTAAAGGATCCCTTAGTTATAATGGCCACCATTAACGGTGCTTCCCACCTACTGGCACCTACTCCTTTCCACTCCTCTGAAAGGTACCTATTCTTATTTCTATTTTGTCCACGAGGAAACAGTCTCAGAAAGATTAAAAGTCAGCCCAAGGCCCTGGCTTGTATGTGATTGCAAACCTCAGGGGGTCTGCGTCCAAGAGTGCCTTCCTGCCAACTTTAGTGGTCACACTTTTGGGAGGCTTTCTTCCAATATCGCCGCCTTTCTCAAAGGTAGCTGCATTCAAGGCTTCCCTGAAGGTACAGGGCTCCTAGAGGAGGAGGATTTTGGTAAACCAAACCAAAGACGAGGTGATGGGAGGTGGCTGCGCTAGGAGCGCTTAAGGAACTAATTAAAAAGTGATCGTCTCCACGAACCATGAGAGACGATGGACTCTGAGAAACAAACTGAGGGTTCTAGAGGGGAGGGGGGTGGGAGGATGGGTTAGCCTGGTGATGGGTATTAAAGAGGGCACGTTCTGCACGGAGCACTGGGTGTTATGCACAAACAATGAATCATGGAACACTACGTCAAAAACTAATGACGTAATGTATGGTGGTTAACATAACAATAAAAAAAGTAAAAAAAAAAGTGTCTCCAAAGGGCTACGAGTCACGCCCTGGGATGACGTTGCAGCTAGCGCCAGCACATGAATGCTACTTATCAAGCACTAAGGAGGAGGGAGGGAACAAGCGAGGGCGAGTTCTGCCCGGCGGCCCTGGACACCCTGAGGTTAGCCCCCTGACGCCGGCCCTGCCCTTGTCGCTGATGACCGCAAGTTTTCAGCAAACCCCAGCGCTGGGAGAGGCAGGGGAACCGCGCAGTCTGCGCTCTGCCTACGGCGCGAGAGCGAGAGGCCCGGCCCCGCCCACTCCTGGACCCGCCCCGCCCCGGCCCCGCCCCGGCCCCGGGCTAGCCCCTCCTCCTCCCCGGGCCCGCCCTGCCGGCGCCCCGGGACCGAGAGTGAAGGCGCGCGCTCGGCCTCTCGGCGTTCGCTTGCTTGG